GAGCCAGTGGCCAGGAGGTAAATAGCTCCTCTCTGCTATCGGTCCCACAAGCTGTCGCTTTCTCGTCCTCCGTCGCTCTCACTTCGGCGCTCTCGGCTTCCTCCCGCTTACGGTGGTTTCCAAGTGCTGGCAGCGCCCGCAGCGAGCTGCTCTCCCAGCGAGGCGATGAGGTCTAGGCAGAGGCATCCAGGCCAAGGAGCTGTAAATCACTGCGACAAGGGCTGGGGCAGTGTGCCCACGGTCCCCGCGCCAGCTCCTCCATCCGACGGCACAGCCAGAGCTGGTTAACCCTCCTGCACAGGGACGGGAACCTGCCTCCTCGCTCCGAGTTGGAGAGGAAGGCCAGGAGGAGCCTCCACAAGAGGACACCCTGGACCTGAAAGCTCTGCGGCAAGGCAGACTGCACCAAAGAAGCTGCTGGAGAACGGGATGCCAAGGCAGGCTGGCGCACGAGCTCAAAGCAAGCCGTCGTGCTGCCTTTGGCCAGCCATCCCCTGGGTGCTGCAGGGCGCCCAGCACCTTCCCTACCCTCCAGCCACGCGTTCACCACCCCAATGAGCTCCCCAGCTCGCCGACTGCACCCGAAGGCACGCCAGGCTCGGGGCACGGGGCTGCAGCAACTTCCAGCACGAGACAAGCAGCGGCAATTTTAGCTTTGTACCAAGCCCTAACTACCACGTTTAGAAGTCCGATTTAAACACAGCCTTGGGCGGTGTAGCCACGTGGCAGCCGTTCGCCCCTTCTGCAGAGCAACAAGCAGCTTGACCTGTCCACGCGTTGCTGAACGCCACCCAAACCAAGAAGCCCTCCTTGTCTCAGGAGGGACCCCAAAGGCTCTTCTGGAGCCTCACCATGTTCCTTATCCAGTTTGGTGAGGGACTGTGGTCCCACCACCCTTGTCCAGCCGCCACGCATCTGACCCAGGCGGCTCGGCCGACCGCTTGCCAGCCGTGCCTGGCCATCTGCCCCGCAGGTGGGCTGGGACATGTTCTCAAACCGTTCAGGTCTCGTATTGAAACCCCAATGCAGTTACAAGCGCCCAAAGGGCTCTTCCCAGCTGTTTCGGTCCAGTGATGCAGGACAGATGTCTGCATCTTCTCCGGCAGCAGCTCGGGCCGACGGAAGGAAGCCCGGGCTCTGCTCCAGCAGCCACGCTTCCACCTCCCCTTTCTGATCCAGGCTCACGCCAGCGACTGCAGCGTCGGCGGGGTCAGCTAGGCCACGGGAAGGCTCCAGAGCCTCCGAAACACAGTTCTGGTCCGCTTCCAAGGATGTTTTTTGCAGAATCTGGAAGCAGAGACCCCACCTGCACAGGGAGCCCCCCAGCCCCATGCAGCCAGGCTCTCCCAGGAGCCAGTTTCTGTCCCGGCACGCAGACGGTCCCCACTTCCTAGTAAATGCCACCAGAAAGCGTTTTGGATCGCCAACGGCGTGCCTGTGGAGCCGGGGTGCGCGTGTCAGCACGCGGCCATGGGAACGCGCCCCGGCATCCACCCGTCGAGCATTCAGACCGCGTCATCTTCTTGGATGGCCCCTTCAGGGAAGACGTCCCTCTGCAGACGGCGGGCGGCGAGCTCCTCCGCCCCTGCTGCTCGAGGTCCTCCTCCTTTCGCCGCGGCGCTGTCCCTCCGCGGACGGCCGCACGGGGAGGGCAGGAGAAGGGGCCGTGAGAGCCGGAGGCCTGGCGCCGGGCCACGCTCCATCACTCGCTCGCCGGGGGGACTGGGGGAAGCGGGGAGGGCTGGGAACGCAGGAAAACACAAGCGAAGTGTGACTTCATCTTAAAAGGCAGC